ATCTAATAAACCAGTATAATCTATATAATTAATAATTTAAGTTTATTCCAGGATTTGAAAGGTAAAGATGTCAGACGTATTGCGTGCGGGTCTTTGACCCTTTGCGAATATAATTAGTCAAGACAACAATACCCAGACAATTAGTAAGTAATTTTCAACTTGCAGATGTTAATGACCTTTTCGTTATATCATGTAAAAATTTGCTAATGATCATTCTTGGCCAAAGAACTAAATCAACTCAAACAAATCAATAAAAAAAGAATCAAAAAATTTAGTACCTCTGTACGAATAACACTATTTCAAGATACTGTAAAGCATTACAAAGAAGGATCTAGTACAGCATATAATGTAATGATGAAAAAAAAAAAAAATACTAAATTCGAAAAAAGAAAAAATGACATAGGTAAATTCATTAAGTAGAGTTTTTTTTTTAACTGAACGAAATTAATTAAAATCTGTTTCTTTTCTAGAACTTCTGTGTAGGTTTTTTAGAATTATTTTTGGCCTTAAAAGCCTTATTCTTAAATAAGTCATGAGATATTTTAACAATCCGCAATTACGATAGCGGAATATTGGCTCAGGAATGGTGATAACAAAACGATACTAAATCTGTTGTTATTATTTTTACAAACGCAAATTAGATCTCCAATGATTTTCTTATCTTTCCTCTTCTGTTATCTTCCCAATTTTACTAATTTCCTTTCCTTGGCTCTCATCTGTAGGACTTGTCAAAACGAACCGCTTGCCCAAACTTGAGGGCTTACCAGTAGCCAATAAAGAGTTTTACTGCTACATACACAAATAAATATTGTTAGAGTAGCACTAAAATGCCTAATTATAATAGTATTAAAATGTACGTAACGGAACGTACATACTAACTTTCATTTTGATACGAAAATAATTATGGTTTAAATTAACTTTTTATAAATTGTTATTTACCTTTTTTATTTAATTATTAATTCGGTAGGTAATTAGTTTATTATACGCGGAGCATAATAGAAACGTTTCAAACAGGAACATCTACAGTGTATTATTTAGTCATGTTGGTCACGAGAGAAAGACCCGCCATAAATCACTGTCATAGTGATAAATGCTTTTGTGTATTGTTGCTGCATATCATTACTTATGCAGATAAAAACAGTAGTCTTAATTTGTACATGATGTAAAAGCAAAAGGTTTTGCCAGATACCCCTGTTATCTTATTCTTATTGTAGATGTGAAAATACACAGCTACAATACACCAGGAACTATATTCCAGCCGTGAACTTACTTTTAACACAAGCATTTGGCTTTGAGGAGTTTTTTGGCTTGGCTTAAAAGGTTTTTTGACTCGGCTGTAGGTTTTAATAAGAGTACTAGTGAGAGCTGTGTGACAGTCTTCATTTTAATAAGTAAATGGTCGAGTGCGAATCGAACTTGGATGGATTATTATGGGTGGATTATTTACGTTGTATTCCTCATGTCTAATAATACTTCCCTGACATTGCTACACAACACAAAACCCATTGAAAAAATATACATCAAAAAACGGTACAGTAATTTTTCTAAGCATAAACTACTAGAGATTGCAAATATAAGTATTCTTTTCTATTCTTGTACGTAAAAACTGAAAAAAGAGTCTTTGAAAAATAGTCTAATAAATGGCTAGACAGACGGATAATTAAGTAAATAAAAACAATCTTCATTAGATCTAATGAGGATTGTTTTAGTCTTTTGGGGTACGGAACTCTAAAACTTGAATAAAAAAATAAAAATCTGGAACATCCCGATACATTACTGTATACACTAATAGTTACGCAAGATTGTATATGCCATAATACCGACAGCAAATAAAAGTTAATAAAGTGTTTTGTTTTGTTAAAATTACACATTCATAATGATCAACGACACACAGTACAAAGTTAAACAACCGTTTTAGCTAAGAGGTTAATATTGACTTACAAACACTAGATGTGTTAGAACAAGTGCCGTTTCTAACTTTCGGCTCAGAAAATAGAAACTTTGAATACACAATAATGCATTATATAAAACTAAATCTCAGGAAAATTTATATAAATTTTAGAATTTTCTTTGCAGTAAATCGTTTAGATATCCTTCTACTCTGTTTATTTTGTTAATACGTTTGATTTTGTTAATACGAAACATACTTACACAGTTTTTCGGGTTTATTTTTTCAGTTTCAGTCTATCACGCTATGGACCCGGCACTCGCACAGTGAATCCATGGAACGCTAAGAAACAGGTCTTTTTGACATTATTTAACATTACGTTCAACTATTTTGTTTTTTTTTTGTTGTAGATATATTTATGAGAAATCGAAACCATAATGGTCAACTGGATTATAATGATTTGAAATCTAATTTTGAATGTTATCTATACCAAATTTTGAATGTTACCAACAGGAGCTGTGAATATTGAAAATGAATCCAATATTTAGTAACGAATAACAGCTGTTCTAGATAAATATCAAAGCTTTGATAGAATATAAATCTCGTATCTAGCAATAAAATTCATCGTCAATTTCTTTCAATGTCTGTTACAAATAACTCAGCGAACGAAATAGCTTTTCAATTTTTAACGACGAAAGATTGTATTACCCTTATGCTTTTGTGTTCCGCAGTTTCATTGTTGCTTCTCTAATGAATCTGACGAGTCGTAAATGATTACAAAGATTCGTAATGGATATGACATTTAAAAAAAAATTGAACGAATATAAAAGTACAACCTGAGATTAGGTTTTCAAACTCACAAACTGGTGAGGTTTCACGAATAAATGTTGGCCAGGACTTATTTAATAACTAGTTAAATATATTCAAACAACTTTCACCATCTGAAAGTGTTTTATAATTATGGTCTCAATTTCCGTTGCTGCGATTAATATTTCGCTGTATGCAGCTCCGTGTATGTGTATCAATAAACTCCTAGAGAGGTGAACAAGCATAAGCCTTATAACTATGAATAGAAAGTCCGATTCTACCATATGTATAATTTTAATTAAATATACTGTTACATATGCATAGCTACATATTTAGACTACTAACCTAACCTAACTAAATGAGTATTAAACTACTGTGAGTATTATAACACAGATAAAACATCTTCCTACCTGTATATAATTTTGTTTCAATACTCAAATTAAAGATTTTATTTAAATTCATTCTTCTATCGTATATAGTCCGTGTAGGTCCGTGTGGTGACGGATTAAAAATTCATCCCGTGGGTGTCGTAAGAGCCGACTAAGGGAAAAAACTAAGCAGGACAACAGCAAAGCAGAGAGAAGGAAATCTTGACACAAACCCTTTACCAACCCGTCTGGCCAGCGTGGTATAGTAGGTCAAAACCTCCTTTCTCAGGAGAGGCTTATGTCCAGCAGTGGACTATTAAAGGCTGTTGATGATTGTATGTAGTATTGTCACTATTAAAGTGTCTGCATAACAATGTAGTCAGGAATCAATCCCACTACTTTTGGCGTGCACCTCTATGCCGATCATCAGTATAATTCACTTACTCACCACCATGATCGTCATCTCAGCTGTGGGACATCAAACGTAAAAACTTGGAGACGTTGCTTGAACGAGAACGTTGGCGATATCATATTAAACTGATTCGATCTTGATCACGAATGGATAAGACGACCAAAAAAAATAGAAAGTAAAAGTGATCGTACCATATAAATATTAACGGTATTAATTCACTTTGCCAGGTGTATATTAATAAAGTAACGTAGTTATTTTAATAATAAAAGAACAATGTAAATCTAGGCCTAGACCATACCTAGGTCGCCACTCCCATACACGGATGCAAATTTTTATTACAATGTATTATGAAAAAAATCCGAAGTTCTGAAAACATGTTATTCTGACGATGCAATTCTTTTTTTTAACTATGATTTATACCGACGGAAAGATTATAAACAACTAGTTATGCGTTCATAGTGAATTAATTATTATTAAAGGCACCAATTTTCTCTTCTAGAAAAGTATTTGCCTTTTTTATAAATTTAATCACAATCTGTAGGTAAGTTACTATAAACTTACTATTTTAATATTATATTTTTAAGACCTAATATTAAAAAACTGACTTTCACTAAAATTAAGTTAAAGAACATTGAATTACCACTTTGGCGAGGTTTTAATATAATTTAAAACCTTGTTTTCTTTTTTTAAACGAATGAATGAACCCAAGGATGTTATTTTTATTAAAGAATATTTTTGTATGCACACAAAATAATTATATCAATGGTAAGTATTCAGCGTCTCATTACTAACAGTATCCTCCCAAAGATTGTAAAACCGTGCTGTAAGCAACTCACTGACTATTATTCATTAAACTGACATTTCTGACCACTTCTTGGAGAGTTGTCAGAGATTTTTGCCGCTCAAGACACTCCTTTAGTTTTACGGCTTTGTAACCTTACGTCAATAAGTTACGAACGCAGTTTTGCAATAAATATATTCTTGTTTGAGATGACAGCGCAAAATCTTTGACCTCGTCTTTTATATTTTCCGCATTATTCATAAATGACATGTAGAAATGATTATGCTTACCTAACGTTAATATTGGCCGGGCCTTATGTCTTTTAAGGTCGAATTTAATTCATAACCATATGACTAAACACATGGTATTTTTAATTGAAGTCAGCTTTTGACGACAAAGCAAAATGACATACCACTCTAATAATACGTGTAATACTGATTATGTCACCTATAATATAATAAACTATTTTGCCAAAAATGTAAACTATAAAATATCGAACTGAAAACATGTATGCCGAAAAGAATTTGGTAATTTTTCTGGTTTATTTGACGGTTCCGGTTAACTGTTATTACGGTGATCTTTACGGTATTTTTTTTTCAATGGTTTTCTTGAAGATAATTGAAATCACAACTGGACGTACAGGGTTCACTCTAGTTGTATTTAGTTTTTATTGACATAAAGAATGGTGCCAAATCAGAATTGATAAAATGTATTAAAACAATACATACTCAAAAATATATTTACCTTGATCAAACATCACCATTTCAACGGTGGACCCCAGAGGAACTTTCTTCACGTGGACACATTCTTCACCGTTACCAGGCTCCTTAGAACAGAACTCGTTTTCCCCTACATTATCACTCTGTGTTAAAAGAGGTGACGCTGGGTAGGTGAAGCGATGACCGTCAGTTTGACCCCAGCTCTCTGAAACAAATAAAAAGACGCGTTAGGTTAAAGAGAATGAATACAATCTTCGAAGAAACGTTTACTATATAGTCTAATCGCTTTAAGAAAAAGTGATCGAGCCCTGCACCCTGACCAATCATGCTCCACACTTTCGTGCGAAAGGATATTTTTTTTAAACCTAATTGATCAGGATGCGGGGCTTGGTTAATGCGTCACTAATATATAGTAACACTAACAAAGTATTTTACTCTGAAGTGTAATTGTAAAACGAAAACCTAATAAGTCTCCAGGTCGACCAGACTTTAGAAAATAAGAGGAAACTTATAACACAAAAACAAATAAATTAGTCATATCAAACATATTTTAGAGACTGTTTTATCAGTATTGATTGTTTTTTTTACTAAAGAGCTATTTTATTAGCCTCGTACCAATTGTTGTGAATAATTTTAGAGCACAATACCTCACCGGTAATTAGCTTTTACGGCTACTTGTAAATTAGTACATTGTATGAAGAGCCCTTACACTTTCATAAAATTACGGTACACAACATAAATAGCTGTAGTTTCTTTAAAAATGACCTTATTATAATATATTTGGTAGCATTCAAAAGGCTAAATATGATAAAGAATCATGCTATTATCCATTACGAGAACTCATTTGTTTTCATTGAATGAACTAATACTTGCCATCAATCGTAATGTATGTGGACATGAAAATAATCGTAGAAATCTTTCAGTGATGGTGTTTCTTGATTGTATTTTTAGGTATAATGTACATTTATGTCTTAAGGTTGCCTATCGTTTTGGTTTTACATTTTGGTCCCTTTAATTTTAAGCCAATTTTTTTTTTAATTTAAGAGCCCTATTTTTGGAGAAGGTGCATAGGCTATCTTTAACATCAGACTACGATCCGTAGTAAGTAGAGTAACGGCCATTAACACGGGGAAATTGCGTGGAACGACTGCTAATAACACTAGTGCAGTACGTAACTTAGTTACCTAAATAAATATATCCATACTAATCCTATAAATGCGAAAGCGTGTCTGTCCGTCTGTTACCTCTTCATGCTTAAGCCGCTAAATCGATTTATATGAAATTTGTTATATAGTTTCAGGAAAGTACATAGGATAGGTACTTTTATTACCGATACCGTCCTTTAAGGGGGTGAAAAGGGGGGTAGAAGTTTGTGTGGGGAATCAGTAAAAGATAGTTTGAGCTATGGGGAAGGATATATAATAGTTTTTATCTCTGAAATCATCCCTTAAGGGTGTAAATTATTATAAACCGAAAAGTAGCTCTGTCTGTCTGTTACGCTTACACTATTAAACCGCTGAACATGCATACTTTAATTCTTGAAAAAAGACATAGGCTACTGTTTACCGCGATACATACACGCAGGAGGAGCCACGAGCATAGCAAAGCAAGGCTAGTATAATATCTATACATTAATACATCAATAAAATTCTTTTTACCCAGTTTTAAACAAACATGGCGCATATATTGAAGAAGTACCGAATCTTTTTACCGCAATGACCGACATAGACACGGGCGGAGACGCAGGCAAAAGATCGTATTCTATAAAACTAAAAAAATATTTAAAAACGGCTACATAAAACTCTATGAAGGACCAGTATATTTTGACCTGTCATGCTACAAAAGCTAATACAATGACAGTTTAAGTTAAATTGGTCAATGAAATAAAACAAAGCATTCAAAATGGTCGAAAATCGAACGACAGGCGAGCTCTGATTTTGTTAAAAACATTTACTACATTTATGTATGGCAAGGTTTTTTAGCAAAATATGTTTATGTATTTAAATTTCATTCGTGGAGACAACTGGTTGTGTCATTAGGGTCACCCATCTCATTAACTGACGTAACACAAAACCAGGAAATCCTAGGCTTTTAACGTTGGCGATAATTTCTTAAAAGAAACTATTACTAATAGATACCATTATTTATCAAGAGAGAGTTGCTCATTTATTTTAAAGCCCACACAGTTTGTTACCCGAAATTACTTTTAAGATTACTAGTGTAATGAACCAATCTCAGATGAAAACTTCGACAGAATTATTGCGGTCGAAAGTTGTTACACAAGAAACTTAAGGCTATGGGTTGTGAGACATTTCTTTTTTTTGGTATATTTTTAAGAATTATTTGCAGAACAAACCCAATATCAGTGATAGAATCTTGGTTTAGTAATTTATAACTTAGGTCTTATGTATTAGATCTTTACCTATGAAATTGCCGTTTTGTATGCATGTATGTAAGTGAAAGTACTTATTTTTTCAAACTTTTTTATTTCTGTTATTCGAAGTAATCACCCATGCAATCGACGCATCTTTGCCAACGCATTGGCAGTTTACTGATGCCCTTCTTGTAAAAATCAGCTGGACGGGAAGGAGTACTTTCACTTATTGCGTACAAAACGGCAATTTCATAGGTAAAGACCTATTATTTAAATCGTCTCTGAAAACCAAAGATTGGATATACGAAGGCATCCTACCAATTTCTACACAAAATAGTTTTACGTAGAAGCTGTACGTTTATGGAATGCCTTGCCGGTTTCTATCAGGTGTGCGCTATTTGTAACCACCTTCAAAACTATGCTGTATAAGCATTATCTGTCTCTCATTGTTGAAAATTAGTGTATGTATATATTAATGTAAGTATGTATAGTGAAATATTTTATAGGTTTATGTTAATGTATGTATGTATAGTGAAAAAATTTATACCTTATTTATTATTCTAATTTCTGTATACCTATCACTAGTTCAAAATGAATCCAGTCCGTCCAAAGGTTACCAGGAAGAAACTGCTCTAAACGATAAGGTCGCCCTTTGTACAGAACATAATGTTGATCGTTTAATTACTTTATAATGTCTGTAAAACCCTGGTATACAAATAAAGTATTTTTATATAAGTAAGTATTATCTATCTATCTAATAAACCACGTGGTCAATAAGTATCTACGGAGGTAATAATATGACTGTCAAGTTCAATTAGTAACTTTTTATTAAACGTCAAAGCAACGCTTTACATTTTTGTGTGAAATACTAATTATTCAATGTTAATTTGAAGATACCAAATCAACACAAACTTTTAATTGGTAATAGAGAACAATCAGGCTGTACTTTAAGATATTACATTTAATAATATAGATGAAATGGTTTATTTTAAATCTGGGAATCTACCCTATTATATTTTCTACTTTCCTCTTTAGTAGGTAAATACTTTTATGACACACGGGACAAACCATATTGTGAAAAAGTGCCTTTCCATGGCTACACCGTGAAGAGGGAGAGGCAGATCACAAACTACCTGGATGACAAATGTCCAAAGAGACATGAGGGAGTTAGGCCTGTCCACTGACAATGCTCACCAGCGAAATGTATAGCGCCGCATGATAAGGAAAGCCGACCCAACGTAACAGGAATGGGCGAGGGCAAAAAATAAGGGACGAACTATCAGAGGATTTACCTGAGAGTAAATCCTCGAAGCGTTCCTCGGTATGGATGTATCCAGATGGCCGGTTGCCAACAAAATTAGAAAATCCGCAGAAAATTGGCATAAAAATGGTGGCCAGTTTTTTTCCCGGAGTGGACATCTTGCAACATCAATGCTAGAGAATTGTATGGTACACTTCAGTCGCATTGCCAAAAGCTTTCAAAGCTGTGCAGGAAAGACGACCAAAGACCGAGCTATGGGGAATGATGCTGCATCATGACTTTGGGTCTTTACAATCTTCCCTCAGAACAAAGGCGTTTATTTAAGAATCGGGTATTGAAACCCTACCTCACCTCAGCCCTGACTTAGCTCCTTGCGACAGGCTCAAATCCTAATGTAAAAATATACTTCATGGCAAATTTATGTGGTATAATTATGCAAAGATTGAAAGCTGAGAAGAGAGAAGATAAAAAATGAGAATAGAAATGTAACAAACAGGAAATATGTTGTTACATGACAAAAGTTATACAAAGTATTAATACCGATTTAACTTTCATCCATACCTATTATTTTAATTGCCTCTTTTTTATTTATAATTTTCTTTAGGTACGTAATAAAGATGAATACGTAATCCATAACATTTATATTTCATACTAAACAATTCTTTGAATAATAAATCCACCGTTTCCAATTTTTTTAACCCTTTCATTGTGATAGTAACATCAAGAATTTTGTTTTTTAAATAAAATTAAATAAAGAATTTTAAAAACACAAAAAATATTTACATTAATACAAGATGATATTTGATAAAGTGTTATTCTGTATTTTAATTAACTATTTTAACAATACAATAAGGTCGGTGGTAGTCAGTGTCTGTGTTTAGCTTCACACGATAACTGAGGATGGGCTCTCTGACTGTGTGCACCAACAGCACACACCTGCGCGGATCTCATCGTGTATCACAAAAATACAATCTTTGGCATAAGTAGTGTTCAGCAGGCCATTTTTGGAATAAAAATTCGTTCAGAATTGAGGTCCGATCAACTCTCAAGCTCACGACTGTCCTAAAAAATATTTGCGTAGTAAAGTATTAAACATCCAACTTTGGCTGTAATGTGATTATATCGCATTGTGGCCGTAAATTGAATCGGTAATATACCAGTCTTACTATTTTAATATGAAAATACCTGACTATACTGATTGGAAACGAATTTTAGAAGAATTGGCCTTCAGTACATTTACCATACATATTTATCATATGAAACTCCCTCCTGTTTTCTTATTTGTACATTATTGTCCAAAATTACATTAACGCATATTCCAATAATCAGAAAATTATTCTTGTTGCGTGGTCTTTGTTTTTAGTGGATTGCCTAGTATGATTATATTACATATGATTTTATTATTATGATTGCATTGGCTTGATGCATATTCGACTACACGTATGGTGTAGTGGTTTAAGCGGTCACCTCGCTGAGGGTTGTGGTTTCGATCCCCACATGTAACTACACTTTGTGTTGGCCAAAAATTGTTGCTCTGAGTCTATAAGCTCTTTATCATACATGTCTGTAA